ACCCTGGACAGCATGGGGGCCTCCCAGCCGGCTCCTCGCCCTCATCTGCCCATCCCAACCCAGCCACCCGCCCTCTCTGTGCTGTGACATCCACCCAACTCCCAGTCCAGCAACCCATTCCAGTGGGAGTCAGGCACCTAAAGACCTTTGAGGCTCTGGGGCTGGGCAGCTAGGACGCGGTTTCCAGCAGTCCTGGGTCACGTAGCATCGCAGCTCCCGTCCAGTCCCCAACCAGGCTGCCACGTGTCACCTCCTCCCGCAGGAGGCTGGGGAGGGGTCCAGAGGACCAGAACCCGGCTCAGCTGCAACCCGCCCTGAGCTGCATCGAAGCACTCTGAACCCCAGGGGACTGAGCCCCCCGCCCAGAGAAGACCCAATTGGCAGCCCCCCCAGAACCGCTGATTGGCCCAGGCACGTGAGTTCAGCATGGAGGAAATTCCAGCCAGCAGCACCCGGCCTGTCGCTGCCACCACCAACCCCGCTCTAATTCCCTGCTTCCAGCTCCGACTCGGATTCCTGGCTTTCCCCCGTCTCCGCCCTGATGCCTGGTTTCCAGCTCCGTTCCCTAGCCTGACTCCCGCACCAACCACCCGGCCCTGTTTCTGCTCCAACCACTAGGCCTGACTCCTGGTCCTACCCACTAGGCCAACTCACCCACGCCCTGGTTGTGCCAGCCCTTGCTGGTCCTTTCACCTCTCCCCTCGTGTCCCTCCTCCCTTTTCACTGGGATTCCTCCCCCTTCGCCAATCACTGTCAGAGAGCGGCTCCTTCTCCTACACTAGCCGCCCGGGGACCAGTCTCCCAAGATAGGTGTTGGGAGCACTAGACATGACCCATCCCACCTTGGCAGCCATGGGGGATGGACTGGAGGGTCCAAGAGCCTTTTGTCCCTGACCTGTGGGAGGCCACTTGGGACTCCAGGCAGAGCAGTGGATCTGACAGCCCCCAGCATCCCCAGTGGGACTGGCTCCATTCACCCTCCTCTGGGCTCCCAGGGCTGCTGTAGCTCCCAGTTGTGTCGCTGGTCTGGGGCGGCAGATTCTGCATGTGGCCAGAGCATTTCCCTGCCCCTAGGGCAGCCGTGGGGAAAAGGGGAGTGCAAAGCCCAGGTGTGTGGGGTGTGGAGGGGGACAGGGCCTGTAGCAATGTAGCCTCTTGTGGTGACACAGCATCTCCATTCTAAAAGGTCTCGCACAGTCGCCCGTTTACTCACGGCTGGCTGGCTTCGGCTTTGTTCCCGTGATGGCTGCCACATCTGGAAAACACAATAGCATGAGAGAAGGGGAGGGAAGGGGGCACCTGAGCTGTGATCACAGACTGGGGTTTCCCCCGGAGACTTTTCTCCAGTACAAGGTCCCATTCCCGCTCCCCGGCACCAGCCTGTCTCTCCTCGGGAGGGATCGTCTCCTTCCACGCAGCACCCGAGATTCCTCTGAATAACCGCACCAGACTCAGCGATGAGGCCGGTGTTATTTTATTCACCTGCCAGCAGGGGGAGCGCAATTTTACCCAGCTATGCCAGCATAAGGATAGGAGCCAATCTCCCCAGATTTGGGGGCCCCGAGGCAGGGCAGACTCCAGCTCACCTTCGTCATTCATGTAGGCCTGTTCTTCATCCTCCTCCCTCTTCTCAAACACCGGGGTAGGGACAGGGGGCTTCGCCTGATGGTTTTTTCTGAAGTTGGGCGGAAGCATTGCATCCACTTTGGCACCGGCAGAAGAACCAGACGGGCACAAGATTAGGCAAGGGGCACTGGCACACCGGGGGGGAATACAGATCCTAAAATACAGGGCTCTGGGTGAGCCGCCCAGGCCAGGTCGGCGCACTCTAACTCAGCCTGTGGGGGGCGGGGGCGGATTGTGGGGGATGCAATAGTGTGGGATGGGCACAGCGGACATATCAAATGCAACATCCAAATGGTGCCAATAGACATCAGGGCACTGCTGTGGGGGGAAGCTCGCAGTCGCTGGAGTCCCAGCTGGCAGGGGCGGGGCACTGCTGTGGGGGGAAGCTCGCAGCTGCCCTGTGCCAGCTGGGAGGGGCGGGGCACTGCTGTGGGGGGAAGCTCGCAGCGCTGGAGTCCAGCTGGCAGGGGCGGGCACTGCTGTGGGGGGAAGCTCGCAGCTGCCCTGTGCCAGCTCTCCAGAGCTTTGTTGGGGCCAGGCCGTGGGAGGTGTGTGGGGCCCAGCATGCAGATTCTTCACAACCCAACAGCCCCGTGCCCTGGAGGAACAAGCCAGGTCCGCTGAGCTGCAGCCAGGAGCAGGCGCCTGGAGCAGGCTGGGCACATTCACCTCTGGGGGGCTTTGGGCAGGAGGGCATGGATGCTTCCCAGACGCTCTCTCCGTTCTCCTTATCGGTCTCCACATACTCTGCAAAACACACCAGAAAGAGAGGGGTCTGAGAGCTGGGGGGCTGGCCGGGTACGGGGGGGGCTGGCCATGGGGGAGCATGGGGTTGGCGGGGGATGCTGGGTAGCCCTGTAAGGGCTGGGGGGGGGGAGAAGGGACTGAGTGAAGAGGTGGCGTGGGGGGGGGGGGATATCCCCAGCACTGGGAGGGGGACCCAGTGTTGGGGGGCAGTTCTGGGAAGGAAGGGAGCTGGCCAGGGAGGGCTGCCTGGGCTTGGAAACAGGCAGCCAAGGGGACCGGACCCGCCCTTTCAGCTGGACATGCAGCGCAGCACACGCCCGGCCCCGGCCCAGGCACGGAACCATGTCCATACACCCTCCAGGCACCAGCACTTCACACCCCCACCCCCCAGCAATCATGTCCTCCCCGCTCCCCACCCCATGTGCCCTCTCCTGCCCCCGCCCCCCCGAGTCCGGGCATCCTCTCCCAGACACACACTGCCAATGCATGTGCCCCCCTGGGCCCACCCTGCCCAGCCCCCTTCACCCAGGCCCCCTTGCCCACCCACACTTAGCCGTCCAATGTACACGTATCCTCCCTCATGTGCACCCTTCCCCCCCACACACTCAGGTGCCCCTCCCCTCTAAGTATCTGCCACACCCCCATACTGGTGCCCGGCTCACCCACCCATGCAAACCCAGCCCCCGTGCCCAGAATTCGCACCTGGAGCCCTCGAGGGGGGGGAACCCACCTAACTTCTCCGCGTAGTCCTCATCCAGGCTCAAAGGCACCAGGGTCTTCTTGGTGTTGGAGACGAAGTACTCCACCACGTCGGCCAGGGAGGGGCAGCGGTGCTGGGGAAGAGATCCTGTCAGCCTCACCTCTTGGCCATCCTCAGGCCCCTGACACTGAGAGGCTGATCAGGCTTTGCCCAACCCCCTCAGGGCTCCTGCTCCCAGCCTGCGGGTGGCGCTCCCGGCCTGCAGGGCTCTCCGCTCCTAGCTGACACCCCCAGTCACTGCTGGGAGGAGGCAAAGGCCCCAGAAGAGCCCGTGAGCCCCCGCCTCAGAGAGAACCTGGCCCGTTGGAGCGGATCACACATCCAAGCCAGAACGCCGCCTCTGCCGGTGACAAGCGCAAGCCCACCATAACGCACTTACCTGTGCAATATCCCCAGGGGGAGATATTCCTGCCTGACCCCCAGCTGGCAGTCAGCCTGTGCCCTGCAGCATGAGGGTTGCCAGCCCCTGGTACTGTTATCCTAGCTGGTGTGACGGTCGAGGTTATTCTTAGTGCTACACCTGTGGCTTTGGGGGGGATCTTGATGACCCATTTGCCACATCATTGGTTCATGAAATAGGGATGAATGGGGGAGCACGGCTGGGCACTGCTGCCCGGAACTGTTTAGCTGTGTGTGCGTGTGTGTGTCCTAGGCCCTATAGAGCTTATGGAGATTCTCCTGTAGCATAAGTGATCAAGGCCTGGCTTCTATGCCTGTGCTTCCGGGAGCTGTTTGATCCCCCTGGGGCCCAGACCAGGTCCCGGTCCCTGCACAAGGTGGGGACACAGAACCAGCCCACTCACCGGCTGCTCGACGTCGATGACATATTGCTGTCCCACGCGGTTCACTCTGTAGTGCTTCACAACCGGGGTGCTGCAAGAGAAAGGCGGGGGGATTGCACAACCCAACCCTCACACCACTTGTGATCACAGCCCGTGTGCACGGGGATTCCCCCCTCACACACACTAGTGCCAGGATTCACACTCCCAGCCCCATGTGCACCCCCGCATACACTAGTATCAGGCCTGCCCCCTTCCAGCCCCCGACCGTCCCCCGCCTCCTCACCTGCTCAGCATCTGACGCGTGGTCACCGAGATGCTCTTCCCGTCGCCCCCCGGGCGCAGCAGCATGTTGCCGCAGTCCGGGTTCCTCTCCAGCAGGACCTGGGCCTCTGTCCTGGAGACCTTGAAATAGCAGCTGGGAAAGGCAGGAGAAAGGACAGGACCCAGTTAACGCGCCAGCCCCTCCCTGGCATGACCTGGGACTCAAACCCCCCCAGAGCCGCTGGCCCGTGGCCTCTGGGCTATTGGAGCTCTGAGCCCATCAGGATGGGGGAGACCGTGAGCTGCAAGCCAGCCAAGCCCCCTGCTGCTCAATTCCCCACCGTGGGCTGGCGCTAGCATGGGCAGCTCAGGTAACAGGGCCAGACGGCTCTCCTGCCCCGGGCACAGACAGAGGGCGGGAGAGAACTGAACAATGAGGCCGTCGGATGGCATGGGCCGGGGCAGGGGGCTCGCTGCCGGGGGAAGCGCCAGGGGAGGCCACTTGCAAGGCAGGATGGGGGGACACCAGACAGGCTGGACTGGTGGCCTGGCCCGACACGGGAGGGGGACGCCAGACAGGCAGGCTGGCACGACATGGCAGGATGCCAGATAAGCCGGACTACTGAGCGGTGCCAGTACAGCAGCTCCTCTGCGCCCCACCAGGCAGCGACCCGCCCGCGGCACCTGCCCACCACGGCCCTGGGTTCTCCCTCCGGCCCAGGCCCCGCTCACTCCGGCATCTGTTCCTCCAACAACTCGTAGTCGAGAGAGCTCGCGGTGCAGCGCTGGCTCAGCTGGGCTTGTCGCTCCTGCTCCTTGGAGAGGGCTTCGGACATCATGTAGATGTGGCCGGGCAGCAACGTGAGGTTGGAGGGGACTTTCATCTGCAGGGACAGGGACGATACACAGTCTCCCCCGGCGACGTGCTGCGACCACAGCCTACAGACCAGACCGGGGCTTCCACCAACTCCTCCCTCTCGGGACCTCAGGGCTGCTCCCATCCCTGGCCCGGGGGGCCTCACGCCGGCCCTCTGTGCGGCCCACGAATCAGCCAGCAGGAGGTGCCAGCGCGGCTCCCACCTTCCTTCCCCTATCAGTCCCGCCGCAGCTCCAGAGCCCTGGACTCTGACCAGCAGGGGGCAGGCTCCCCGCGAAGGGCCTCCAGGGGCTGAATGCGACATGGGACGAGGGGGCTGGGAACCGCTGGGAGGGAAGCCCAGGATGGGCTCAGAGCACCCGAGGGAAACCTGCCCTGACAGGGCTGTTGAGAAACACGGACTCAAGGCTGGACAAGGGCTCTAGGTCCCTCAAGGACGAGCTCTCGCCACGCGGGATACCTGGGGGTGAGAGATGGAGGGCAGGGCTGTGTCTTGCACGCGCAGGGTTGGGGGGAGGCGGGCACAGGTGAGTATCTAGGGCGGGCAGGGGCTGAGTGTGGGGAGGGGCAGGAAGGACAGGAGCGAGCGTGGGGGGAGCATACACGGGGTGAGCAACGGTGTGTGTAGGCTGGGGGTGTGGAGTGGGTAGCGGGGCAGGGGTGAGCACCTGGGGGTACAAAGGCTGGGTCAGGCAGAGGGGGCCCGAGGGGAGGGCAGGTGAAGGGGGCGGATTTATCAGCCAGGTGCGTTACCTCCACCACGGTGAGGATGAAACCCTTCCACATCTCCCGAGCCTCCAGGCTCTCGGCCTGCAAGAGAAACGCACGTTACTGGGGTAAAACCCAGAGCGCGGGGGCGGGAGGAGGGAGGCAGAGGCAGAGGCCACGCAGGGCGAACGTACCTTTAACTTCACTTCCTGCCCCCTCAGCTTCAGGTTGAGCCCCATCCCGTCATCGCTGGCCCTGGGGCCGCTCTGGAGGTAGCTGTCGGTCAGGGACACGAAGGTGTCCAGGTCGATCTTCTCCACGTACTGCGGAGGGCCAAGCACAGATCAGTGCGGGGGGGGTCAGCCAGCCCCACTCTTGCAACCCAAAGCAGGGCCCTAGGTGCCCGCTAGGGAGCCCTGGCTGGCTGGCTTCCCCCCACCGCTTCTCCGGGATGGGGGGGTGTGAACACTTCTGGGTTGCTGGTTCAAATCCAGCCCTGCTCAGAAGCACGGCTGACAGGAGTCGGCTGGGTCTCAGTGGGCTGGTGCCCACGTCACCAAACCCACCCCTGCCGTGGGCACCAGCTGGCTCCCCAGCCACCAGGCCCATGGCCACGCAGGGTAAACGAGCCGCTCGCCCTGAACGGCGGCTCTAGGGAACGGCCGTCCCCATGGGCGGGGGGTTGGGAAAAGAGAGAGGGGACTCTTTCCCAGGTCAGAGGGATCGAGGCCCTCGCCACCCAGACAGCATGGCAGACCCCCAGCAAGCTGAGCCTCCCCAGGAGGGACGTCCCCCAGCCCGGGCTGGAGGCCACCAGGAGAGTTGAGATAAGAGGGCCTGATCCACAGAGGCGCTGAGCCCCCAGTGGCTGGGCACGTGAGGAGACAGAGCCCCCCTGAGGCTTTCCCAGGTTGGGCCGGGGAGTGCGCACAGCGGCTCCCCCGTGGGGCAGCTCCTGCATACCTGCACGTCTCGGCTGGCATTGTAGAAAAACAGCGTGAGTCCCCGCAGGCCTGTCCAGTACTTCTTATACCCCTGCAGGGACAGAGCAAAGGGGCATTGGAGGCTGGGACCGGAGGGGGCCAGCCAAGGGGAGGGTCTCCAGGGCAGCCGCCCAGGTGAGTGGCACAAACGCACCCGGCCTCCGCAGTGAGGGAGGCAATAACGGCCTATTGAGCATGTGCTGTGCAGGTACCTGCCCCCCAACAATGCCCTAGCCCTGTGCTGAACCCGGCACGGCCAGGAACCAGCAGTGGAATGTTCCCGGGATCATAGGCGCCGACTCTGTGGGTGCTCCGGGGCTGGAGCACCCACGGGGGAAAATTGGTGGGTGCGGAGCACCCACTGGCAACTCCCCGCCCCAGCTCACCTCTGCTCCGCCTCTGCCTCCTAGCCTCCCTCCCAGCGTTTGCAGCCGCAAAACAGCTGTTTTGTGCAGCACGCCTGGGCGGGAGGGAAGGGGGAAGAGGAGGATCGCAGCACGCTTGGGGAAGAGGCGGGGCCGGGGCGGGGATTATTTGGGGAGGGGTCCAATAGGGGCAGGGAGGGGGCAGAGCTAGGACAGGGTCAGGGGGGCGAGAGCACCCACCAGTGCCAACAAAAGTTGGCACCTGTGCCCGGGGTGTTATGTAGGGGCGAATCAGTGCCCACCCCCTCTCCCTGTAGGCTGGTTCCATCTCTGCATGGTGGACCCTGCCCTGCCGGGGCAGCATCCCCACGCCCGCCACGCCGGGGCAGAGGATTGGTCTCTGAGGGGGCTGCTTTGGCTTCCCTCAGCGGCTGAATGAGGCGTTGTCGTGTGTTTTCTCCAGCCGCGCGGGAGCCCCGGAACAGGGGCAGCCTGGTGGGGTCCCGTTGCCGTCACTGGGGGCGGAGCTAGGAGAAAGGGCCGATTCTCGGTGCAGGCTGATGCTGGCCTGGCCTGATGCGGCAGCCCCCTGCCCCAAGTCGGAATCAGCTGCCAAAGGCCCGTGGGGGAGGGCAGAGCCCAGACACTGGTCGGGAGGGCTCAGGAATCAAAGGCTCCGTTGTTCGCTGTTTGCCATCAACAGCAAAGTGTTGTGACCCAAAATAAAGGCTGTGCTGCCTCTTCCCCCGCTGCCCGCCCCTGCCAACAGCTCTGCACTGGCCCCAGGCCAGCCGGGCTCCAAGGCGCCAAATTCACCCATGGCAGTGGGCACACTGAGGGCACGCACACACCAAGATCCTGCCCCCTTGGGCCGTCAGAGTCACAGAAGGGTGCCGACATCTCACGCTCACCAGGGAGAGCAGCCCCACACGTAGGTGGGTACATGTCAAGGCCATGTGTACATCACATGTCAGCATCACATGAGTGCAGACATGTCACGGTCACACGAACCAGGGATATCACACTCATGTGTGGCTAAGCACAACTTCCACTTGTGCACAATGGGAATTGAAGTCCCAGGTTTAACAGCTAGAGGACAGGCCTGGGAGTCAGGAAATCTGGGTTTTGAACCTGGCTTTGCCACTGACCCACTGGGTGACCTTGGGCAACTCGGTTCGCTGCTCTGTGCCTCAGTTTCCCCATCTCTAATATGGAGCTAATGCTCCTCACCCACCTTTGTAAACCACCCTGAGATGTGGGGCTGGAAAGGAGCCGAGCGAGTGCAGTGTATAGTTCGAAGGTTATTCCTACGGGACACGTATAGTGCCCATCCCCATACTAATGGGACAATGCCGCTCTTCACAGCTCAGTCCCACACTCTGGGGGCCCAGAATTCTCCAGGCTTCTCAAGAGACCCCAGATCGTCTCAGCCATCCCGAGAGGAGGACACTGCCTGCTGAGATGACCTTATCCAATGCCAGCAAGCTGGTGAAAGACACCATCCGGGGCAAACAGCCTGGCGTTGTGTCTGTCCCCTGACTGGAGGGGCGCCTCCCTTCCCATTCGGTTTATGGCGTGAATGTGATAACATCTGATCAGCATGCAGAAACAGCTGCCCTCAGCAATCCAGGCGGCAGGAATGTTTAGGGGCCATAAATGTAACCAGGTTAACGAACGCAGCCCAGGCAAATGCGTTTAAACGTCCACGTATGTTTCAGCGGCGGATTGTCTGCAGCGTCCGGAAAGAGAATTGCCACCTCTCGGCCTGTCAGGTTGGCACCAAGGGCCTGATCCAGGGCCTGGCTACGTCAATCAGCGGCTCTAGGATCAGGCTTATACTTCATCCAACGACCATCAAAAAGAATGGCCCAGGCAAACCACGTGGTCGAAAGCGACAGGGAGCTCGGCTTTGGCAAGAGGAGGGTCTGCGATGGAACAGACGCCGGAGAGCACGGGGAGCCTTCACCAGGCAGACTAGACAAAGGCCTTCCACAGAACTGGAGGAAGTATCACCGGTCCACCACCCCACCCCCCGCCACTGGGCCCTGCGCTCCCTTGTGCGCACGTACGCCACGATTTCCCAGCCACGGCCGCTTGGATTACCCCAACACTGGGGCTAGGCTGCGGTGTCTAAGAGCCGGTCTTGGTGAGAAAGTCGCACTGGTTTAACTCAAAGGGTGAATTTAAACCGGGGCCAGCGGCTGCGTGGACGCCCCGAGTCCCGGCTAAACCAAGCGGATTTCGGTTTAGCGAAAGTCGATTAGAAACGGGCTTGAGCTAAACTGAAATAAGGGGGTTCATACTACCCAGTGCACTGGTTTAAATCCACACCTTAGATTAAAACAGTGCAACTTTCTTGTCTAGACAAGCCCTTAGAAACAGGCTCAAGCCAGAAAAATCCAATCAGGATTTCAAGGACCCCAAAGCCTGAGGTTGTGCCTTAGCCGGTTAGGAAAATAGGGGCTGCCGGTAACATCTGGCTTTGCAAGTTTGCATTTGGCTTCTGCCCGTCTATCGTCTACACCTGAAAGTTAATTCAGATTAAGGTAGGAAGTGGATTTAAAGGGCAAGCGTTACGCCGGAACAACAGCGCGCCTAGGCAAGCCTGATCCAGCCATGGCAGGCGTTTCTAGGAGGCCTGTCCCCATGGCACCTGTGCACCCAGGGCTTCAGGGGAGGCACCTGGCGGATGGCCTTTTAAAGAGGGCTGGCTCGGCTGCAAAGTTCAGCCCTGGCTCGTGGTTTAGAGTTCTGGAGAGCCTGGCCCTGGGCTTTGGGATCGGGGCCACTTCTCTCTAGCGTCTTTCGCCCCGAGCTGGCTCCCTGCCCGGATCGCTCCGTGCCAGGGCGCTGGGGTGGCAGAGCGGGCCAGGGCCCCGGGTGGGGGGAGACGACACCAGATGTTTCAAGGCCATGGCTCAGCCCCTGGCAATTCAGAGCCTGACCCTGCCCAAGCCCCGACCGACCCCAGCCAGGGGGGGGCCCTACCTTGTCCTGGGGCCCCTTCTTCTCCAGGAAGCCCTCGTAGTAGTGGGGGGGCAGGCTGTGCTTGGGCTTGGCGCCCCGCAGCGCCGGGGGCAGCAGGGCCATTCCCCCCGGCTGGGGCCCGGGCCGGGCAGAGAGGGCGCAGGGGAGGCTCCCGCACGGAGCCCGGAGTCCCGGAGCAGGAAGCGCAGGAGAAAAATAAACCAGGCGTCGTGGGGGTTTTGCAGCCCGGGCCGGGCCCTCCCATGCGCGCACCTGATTGGGCCGCCCGGCTCCCTGCAGGTGAACGGGCCGGGGAGCGCCGGCAAGTCCCCGCCTCGGCCCTGGGAGCGGGCGCCGCGCCGCGCCCCTGCCCGGGGCTATTACAGGGGGG